GGCAGTGTGCACCCAGTGCCGGTCTGTTGATGTGCAGTTCACGTGGCAGTCGCGTTTCAAGAGTAGTTACCAAACAGTGACTGCTGTTGGGAGTAAGAATTGCTGGCGAGTGCTGAGCTCTTTGAGAATCTTCTCTCTGCCTGTCTACAGTGCTTGGCTACCAGGTGATAACTCCAGGTTCGGTATTTTACAGATGCGTAGGTTCCGACAGCTTTACCACATGCATGATTATATATTAAGACTATTTGCCATAAAGGCAGAGCCAGCCTTCTTGACAGCACGCACAGTATTAAGTTTTGTAGCTCTGAGAACAAGGCCAAAATAAAGGTGACAGACTGTGGACAGCTGAACACCTCAGGGTGAGTGACACAGGGACACCCCACTGTGGTGCTGGGAACACTGTTCCAGCCACACAGAGAGAAGGGAAACACACGCACGTATCCAGGACACAGAAATCACTCTGATGGATCTGAGCAGGCCCGTGCTCAAGAGGTTGCTGCCAAGGTCTGCAAAGCAGCGCAGCCGCGAGGGGCTCACTGTTCGCTCGCAGTGCCCAGCTGCAGCAGCCTCTGGCAGCGTGGTGCCAGGGTGGCCGAGGCACGCCAGCGCTCCAAGTCTCCTCCCGGGTTCACGTATGGACAGGGTGCTCAGGGACATTGGGCCTCCCACAGCATGACACAGACTTTGCTCCTGCTTTGCTCTGCAGGCCTTGGAAATTGCCTGCAGCCTAAGCCTAGGGATGAGGTTTTAATTCCTGTGCCCTGCAGCCAGCAGAAGGCACATTCCGCTATCTCAATCCAAATTTCCAGACCAAACCATATGACAGTATGAAGAGTTAGGAGGTCTTGTGCCAGGAAGTTATTTAAAGTTGTGACATTTCACCTGTGTGATACTTTCACTCAGCCTTCCACTACAGAAGAACAACAGGTTTTTGTCTAGCACAGGTTTTGGGACTGAGAAGATAGAGCATGTGCCAGGGCCAAGAAGGCTGTGTCCTTACATAATTTGCTTCTTCATTCATAAAAACACATCACCGTTTATGTCTTCAGCTGAGACCCTCTTGTCCACTCCCTGCTCTCACCCAAAACCACCAGGAAAGTGTCTGAGCAGAGAGAGAACAGTTTCACCATGGGAAAGCCTCAGGCTGACAAGTCACCAAAGAGAGTAAGTCAGCACGCACTTATTCCCTCCAAAATTAAACTCCAGCAAAACAAGGTGGGCAAACACACGTCACCTAACCTTGGCAACCTCAAGTTTTCAGTGGCAAAGATGAAATGTCACGATCTGAGAACAAAGGCACCACATGACAGCCTGCATGTCTGTGCTAGGGTCTCCTGTGGAAGTGAGGGAAGGAAGCCTTTAACTTCTCTTCATTTCTTTCACTTGCCCTACCTTTCCCCTACCCCAGCAACTCATGACTGGGGTTTGTTGCTAGTAGAGGTGTTGGTTAAATGTCCCAGGCAGATCTCTGTGACACTAGGGTCCTTTATAAACTCCAGTCTTAAGAGACTTGTCTTCTGAAAAACAGCTCTGTAACCACAAACAGGAGAAACAAAAACCAGGAGAAACTGCCTTGAGGACACAGGTAAGGTTAAAGAAACTGCCTGACCACTGCTATTACAAGAGAAACACCTGGGTGAAAAAACTGGTGGCTGAACCTTAACTAAGACAAGCAAAAGAAGAAAAGCTTGGATGAAAAAAACAGGGCCTTTGCTGCACCATTCATCAAGGACATTTGCCCTGCAACTATTAAACAGCACAAAGACAGTTTCACTAAACAGCGACAGTAGAAACCTTCTGCCATTTATGGCTGATTAAAAGGCCACATTCACAGCCCTTAGATCATGACAGCTACTCACTTTAACTGAAGTTAAGGAGCAAGGCCAGTAAAAAACAAGAATAATGTTAGATCAATCTGTTTGCCTGGTCTAATAAAAAAAATGCCTGTTAAAGACTGTCTATACCAGCAAGCTAAGATAATAATTTAATTATTGGAGAAAAGACAGTCAAACAATTATCATTTATGCTTCTGTTACACAGATTGGCACTTTATGCAGTAGCCACTGGGGTGGCAGTCCGCTGACAGCGCCACTGCTGTGCCAGCAACAGGAAAAATGCCCTTACAGCAGTTTTCCAGAGGAAGGCATTTAACATGCACAGGGAGGGGTCAGGATTTAAGCATATGACCATAACAGACTACCAAGAGTGAAAAACACAACAAGACATTCAGTTAAAAAAAAGTTTCCCTACCAGTTTAAAAAAAAAAAAGAAAAATCACTCAACTTTTAACATTAACAAGGAAATATATCACATTCAAAGCCCACAGAGGGAAATATAGTAACTCTTCTACATCCAAAACAGGCATATGTCACCCTTTGCGAGGCCCTGGCTATGGTAATCTCAGCAGAAACCCAGCTGTTCAAATAATAAGAACAGTAGGACAGGGTTTTACCTACACTCCCCCAAATGCAATGCAAAACACAACATGTAGCAACATAACTTAAATGACACTTACTCATGCACTCTGTTGTCTCCATACAGGTCACTTAAACCAAAGCTGACGTAGTGCCAGTGCTCAGGAACATTCAGCGCTGGGTTTCCCAGGTTTCTGTACATGCTAACATAGTCCAGAGGATCAGGTCCCCCCAGCCTGCATTAAAAACAGAAAGATTCTTAAGTTAGTTAGTTTATCCAAAACAAATGGGGAGTCTCCACAGGTGCTACAAGGGCGCTCCACAAAGACCTGCTTTAAAACAGAGCTAGTGACAAAAATGAAATTAGCATGTTCAAGTCACCTCTAAAAAAAAAAAAATAAATTTGAGGAGAAGGGTTGGATTAAGTCCAGAAAGCTTCAAGCACAGGAAGGCAAAGTGCATGTGTGCAGCATACTAGAATGTTTTTAATGTTAAAGCATAAAAACCTCTGAGAAAACACCCTAAAGCTTCCACAAAACACAAAGAAAATTGGAAAACTGTATTAGTGAAAGAGCAATAACTGTATCTGCAGTGCAAGCTCTTAATTCAGTCCAGAGGCACATACCTCAATTAAAAAAAAAAAAACAAAAAACAAAAAACAAAAAACCAAAACTTGACACTATTCCTCAAAGCAGAATTTGAAATGGCTAAGTTTTGAGGAGCGTAATCCATACTTCTGAACATAAACACGATAATTAAAATAGTGGAGGAGAAAACAATTGATTCAGAAAAATTAGTACCAGAACTTGAAAAATACACCAGCTGCATTATCAAGAAAAGCACCACTGAAGCCTCTGCTTCAACATTAGAATAGGTTCCTTAGAAGAATATTACTTAAAAGTCGATTACTTAGAAGTCAATGCAGCACAGCCAGACTACGTTAAGCAGCAATTACCAAAACCTGCAGCCGCCCTTCCCGTTACAAGGCAGCAAGGCTGGTGTGCCAGCAGAGCAAGCACAGCACGCTCCTCCTGCCGCTCGCCGTCACGTCTGCCCGCGCAGAGGCAGGTCAGCTCCCCTCTGAAGGAAGGAATATGCTAGACTTTTGCTCACTGATAGCCCTGTCAGTCATAAAACACACAGATAGAAGCAAGCAAGAAGAGACAAGACATCAAACCACCTACCGCAAGCATTTACTGAATAGCACGAGCAGCTTTCAAGCAAAATACTCTCAACTGCTCCAAACAAGAAAATCCAAACTCAGGTGACCCCCTTCAAACCACTTACTACACACCAGTTCCCCTCACCTGCATGGTCTGTTCAGACCTTGACTCTATCATCTGCAGGCTGCAGGGCACTCCTGTGCTTCCCTCCCTAGCCCTGGGGGTTTGTGTATCATTACGCACACCACAACCGCTGCACAAAAAGCGTTTGAGCACCTCAGTTTTGTTCTCCGATGAAAGTACCGTTGCCTTATACCAAACACTAGCAGGCTTGGCAAGAAATACTTTTTCGGCATCTAGCCTGTTCGTCAGCCTCTTGTAGCACCCTCCACTACCACTGCTCCGTGCCTCCTGGAAGTGTTCAGGTTTCACATGTGGAGTTCCTTACCTTGCCTTACCAAGGAAGCTCTGGGATGATCAAACAGCAAAGCTTAATTGCAACTAACCTACTTAAGGCCAGCACCCTTCTCTGAGTCCCACCTAGCAGCACAGAGGAAAAGCTGGCAAGCATTTCAATCCTCAGGCATGAGGGTAACCAGGCTGCTGGTAGTAAAGCCAGAGTTACACCCGCCAGCTTCAGAAAACAGGCAATCAGTGCAGAAGAGATTTAACCCTGAGCTTGCACAATTATTCCTAGATCACATTCACAGAGTACAGCAATTTCTTGAGGTTCATTTAGGAGAGATCTTTGAGACAACAGGGTTTTTTCAGAGCTGGGGTAGCTGGCACTGGAGAACAGACATCCTAAAGTGTCACCACAATTCCACACCAGCCTCACCACAGAGCTGCAGCACCTGGTCACCTCCACAGGAGATGCCCCAGAGTAGTCACCATGGCTGGACAGATGGATCCAACCCTCACTGGTAGTTCATCGGCCTGGCAAGAGGCCAGCACCTGGTCGAGCTGACACGCAAAGTACCTGTAAGAAGGTGCTTTGCAGGATGAGCTCTGGTGAGAGTTAATGCACACGGGGACTCCACAAGTTTATCACCTGCAGGGAAGATGGTGCCAGGAAGGGTTGTGAGAGCAGGTTTCCTGTTCTTTCCAGAAGGTGCCTACATACTCTATGCAGATTTCTAGTGACGGTGTTAGACTACTTGAAATCCTCTGCCCACCTCCTGCTGCCCAACCTTAACAAGTCTGTACAAAGTAATATACCAGCTTGTTGTATTAAAAGGCCTGTGGGCTCTCTCCGTGAGCGCGCTGTGCTGTTTGCCTCCTCCTACTGCAGAAAAAAAGCAGAGCAAGATTATCCAACATGAGCGACTCTCCCTAGGACAGTTTCCCTCCTTTTAAGTCACATAAGGCCACTACAGTGGCTCCAGGCCAGCTCCAGCTTCCCAGTGGGTCAAGTCAAGGATGCAGCCCAGGATATCAGAGCAGGACAAGAAGGGGTGAGCATCCCACCCTCGTAACAGGGCTGAGGTCAGAACTATGCAGCTTTCTCATATGACCAGTGGCATCTTTATGGCAAACCAGTGAGCAAACATGGGGAATGTGTATTAGACCCTGGGATGGAGCAAGAGTTTGATCCTCAATGGCAGCCTGGAAAAGCCCATTCTTGAAGTCTAGCAATAGATTGAAACACTCAGAAAAAACAAGTCCCTGCGTTGCACCAGATCTCTACCTGCCTTTCCATTCCTCCTCACTGGCACCAGGTCACACCAGAGGCTGAGATCTCTGCCACAGATACCCATTCAGGTGGCTATGTTCAGAGCATGGCACCAATGCCCTGGCCAGCACTCAGGCTCTCCACAACAGTAACTCCCGGGTCTGAGCAGCCAGCTGGAAGCAATTCCAGCTAGGACAGTCACTCACCCCCAGGAGCGGCAGTGAAGAGCAGCAGACACGCAAAATTATTCTTAGCTATTGGACTGGGAAGACTCCAGAGTGAGGGAGGTCAATATGCTGACCAGCAAACCAGTGTGGGAGATTAGCAAGTGGTCGGAGCAGACACATAGGATTTGCAACGCAAGGAAAACACCTCCACCTGCTAAGCAACAAGCATCTCCCACATGCACAAAACCTGCTTCCAAATTGGGTTTAATAACACTTTAGATTCACAATTCATGCTGGAACACTGCTGACACAGGCACTTTGACACTGACAACACATAAGACAAACCCTTAGCCTGCCCTTTTTCAGGGCAGGGACTTGCGTGCTCCTCCCCAGGGCTACTCAAACGCAATCCTCAGGTCTGATGCAGACAGCGAGCAAGCCCTGCCCAGACTGCACCAGGCGAGCCAGACACCTCTCCCTCGCTCCTGTTGGCAACCCCGTGCTTCTCTGCAAAGCCCAAGCCTCTCTGGGGACCTGCAGCACCATGCTACCTCGGAGGCGGCTGCAGCAACACGGCAGCCGAGCTCTGCCTTGCCCAGAGCAGACCCCGCCAGAGTCAGCTACCCACCGTTTTACACGCTGCACAACAATCCAGAGAGAGTGTCTTTGCTCCTTGAGAAATTCAGTGGACTTGGAAGACAGTCAGACAAAAAGCCTGCAGCAGTGACTAATTTAATTTTGAAAAATACACATCCAGGCCATATACCTATCCCGAAACCGCTGCAACTGCAGGAGCATCCAGCACTAGCATTAAACCAGCTACATGGAGCACAACTAGTAATGGACCCACGGCAATAATGCTCAGCAAAGGCTAGTCAGTACAGATAATTTATCCAGTTTCGGTGGCAGGTTTCACTGCTACGCTAACTAGTCGAGCACCGCTAATGCCTGCTATGGTACATCCTCCCGCCCACAGCCGCTGTGGCAGGGGTCGCCCC